CTGTGAATGTCACCTTGCTAACAAGTTATAGGTTATAATGTGATAAAAAAAATTGGGAGAAAATGAGACAGGATGGACTACTAATATAACTGAGAGATTTACTGTGATGGCACTTGATGCATTAGCTAACGTTAACATAACGTATTCAACCATAGTTTAAATAACATCCGTTTAGCAAGCATTTTCCAAGACACTGAAAAAATATAGACATCTGGCTACAACATAAAGTGGTCAGTCACTGAAAATAAGCTTTTCACCGTGGTTCTCTTTTTGTTTCACCATACAGCCATCTTCGTCTTTCTTCTTATGACAGTCTAAAAAAAGCTTTGCTTGCCAGCACATTCTTCTTAATTAGTAAAGAATGGAAGCACAATCCTTATCACTGATTATGTTGACTAATTCTTGCAGCCCTTGCGTAAACAAACCAATCGTGTACAAAAGTCTATATTTTAAATTTTCTTCACAGTGTTCAGACAARTCTTGCCTGCGAACTCCATCCATGAAAAGAAAACCTACCGACTCAAACACAGAAGGGAAGAAGGATACAGGCATGCTGAAGTACATTCGCAACCAGGTGAGTTGATTTTAAGACTTCAGCTACGATTACTAAAGGGAAGGAAAAGTAACAAAGCAGCCAAATACAAAAATGATGAGAAATGTTGCAACTTCATGGAAAATGTTTTTTAATTTAATAGAAGCTAATGACATGTCAAATCTAAACTGAAGAGACATAAAAGTAATTACTTAAGGGCTAAAGAAAATGCAGGTCAGGTCGGGTTTTTTTTGTTTTGTTTTTTTTTTTGCAAAATTGGACTTTTTAATAACCAGGAAGGTGCTTGTGATGCAATATAGATAATAATATCAGTCAGTATCAGATTAAAYATCTTTGTGGATTGAGCTATTTTATGAATTATTTGTTGTCACATCAGGYGTTTTAATTGTAGCAGACACAAAATAAGCTGTAATTAAGAAATCAGCTGTACTTTTAACAAAACTAAGGCAAAGAGGGAAGCAGCAAACTGCAAGATGCAGGGCGGGTAATAGACAGTTTAATCTGATTTAAAATTTCTAATTGAACAAGGAAATTGGGAGAGTTGATTTTCATATGACAGCAGGTGATGATCAGTAACAGTAACAAGTACTTAAGTATTGTAGTCCACTTCGGAGTGGCTCAAAGGGAATGTATCATATGGAGTCCAGATGATTGTTATGTTTTAAAATGTATTTTTCATAAACGCAGTTGTCAGAGACAGAACAGGGATTTGGGAGCCCTGGCCAAAATAAACAGAAGGAGAACCAGCCAACAGTTGACCATCGGGTTTGGACTGGGCCTCGTAAGTCCAGGAATTAACTGTAAGAACCAAAAACCTAGAAATAGGACAGACAATCATATCTAGAAACAAGAGGACATTAATTACGCAGACACTCGTTCTTAGGGGTATCTATCAATAAGAAGCTAAAAAGCAGGACTGTGGAGGACATCTAGTGGCAGGGATGGTGCAACAGTCAAAGACAAGAAGCACTCTTTTACGTTTTACAACCTCCCTGCTAAGACCTAAAACATCAAACACAAAGTGGATGCTCAAATCCAGGAGTGTYAAACTCATTTTCACCGAGGGCCACATGAGCGTTATGGTGGCCCTCGAAGGGTCACTTGTAATGAACTTTGATGTTTCATGTTTAACTTTGACTAAACAGTTTTTTAAAATGTCCTCTTTTAAACACTGATAAGAATTAAGTGTATGACTGACTAAATCTGAAATAAATACAGAAATATTATTAAAAGTAAAACTAATAAAGTTTTAATCACTGAGTTTCTAGTGAGTAGCTGCGTTATGGCAGATTTAGTTTATGGTTGATGCTGACTTTAAAGCAGCTTATTTTCAGACATTAATACTAAATATGTGGAATGGCACAGGGAAAAAGTATTGAACACACTGACTGAAATTTATCTAATACTTTGTACAAAAGCCTTTGT